GMYGATKWTWTWMTWYTTWTAGCAAMATTTGAAGATCAWTCAGAATAATAAATTTGCTCAGTCATGTGATTTTAAATCTGTAAACAGACTGAACTTGGCCGTCCTTTGMGAAGATGTTTCACTCTTCCWTCAGATGGATTTACGTATGGTAAACCAAATGATGGGAAAACATCTGGAGCAGCTGATGGTAAGATGCTTTTTGGTAATACCCTTGAATTGATTAGAGCCTTTATATTATCTAAAGGATACCAAAATGCCCTCACTGATAAAGAGTCCATATAAAAATGAATAAGAAGTATGAATATGAATAAGAAGTGGGAAAAGAGAATCTGATGCAAATCTTTATAGGCCAAAATGTTGACTGATCAAAAATAGTGAGGTTGAAAATTATTTGCCTAATCATTAAATTTTATAGAATGAAGATAATTAGCCTTTTTAACAGCCACTCCCATAGTAGACTTTCACAAAGTCCCTTTTACTCCCCTGGAACAAGGATCAGACTCTCGCGCTCTGCGCTCGCTTTTTTTTGTTGCGCTTCGCGCTCGGAATTCTATTCTTTATTTTTCTGAGTCCAAAGAGAGTCCGACTTGTAGCAAGTCTACTCCCATGCAAGTCATCAGACTAGGCAACACTCCCCCTGTAGTGTGAGGCAAAGGGTGAATGGTTCTCAATAAATTGTRGCAGGCCCTTCCTTCTTCTCCCCTCCCCACTCTAATCACAACAGCGCGATTTTCAGGCTAATCTAATTCCATTCCTGATTATCCTTTGCATATTTTTATAGCACTTGTGTGGAGATCGGCCCCAATTCAGACTTCATTTCACAAGGAGAAGAAAGCCCCTAGAGATTTTCAAACATTAAACAAGTCAGCCGTTCAGATTGGATTGACAACAGCTCAAGAACATTTCCAGTACAGAGCAACGCATGATGTGAGAAAACTTGATTCAAGAAATCAAAAGAATCAGAGCACATTACAAAAGATTAGATTTCCACCGACAATGGTATTTGGAGTTCCAACTAAGTAAGGATATTTCCAATGTTATATTTGCCATATTAAGTCATATTTTGCAGAGAGAGCAGTGCTAGTATTTCTTTGCTGCTTTGTATAAATTACTTTCTTATGCTTACACGGTTTTATCGTTTTTCCCTTGGATACTAACTGCAAATATCTTGTAATATTTATATTTGATCTTTTACATTTTAGACCCTCTACACCAGTTTATGACTTACTGGGTCACAAATACCAAGATAGATGGCTAGAAGAAAGGAGGAAAGCAGAGGAGACAATGAGAGCAAAACAGATACAGAAGGTAAACTCAAAGGACAATTTGTAAGAGAATTCTTTTGATGCTGTAATACCCAACCTTGATCAACAATAACATAATGAATTAATAATATTTTGCAGCGTCATGTAGACAAAAACATCTATGAAACCAGAGCATCTCTTTTAAGAAAGTTCCAACCTCCTGTTGATAACCCACCACTGTGGCAAATGCCAAAGTTTCAAAAGGTAAAAAACCAAAACAAATAATATCATATAAAGCAGTCTTCAATAAGATAAAAATTATGTTATCATGGCTTCTATTTCAGATTCCAGCACAAATTGAAAGCTTCAGATCAGAAAATGCCAAGAAACAAGCATTCAAACACCATGCAACTGACAGCACTTCAAGGAAGGGTGCATTCGGCCATGGAATATATGAACCTGCAAAGAGTTGATTGAACAAATATCCATATTTCTTTTTAATATAAATCTTAACTGTGTTATATGCTTGACTTTTATTTTCTGTGTGATTTTACAAATCAATTAAACAACTTTTGTGAAAAAAAAACACAACACTTTGTAATTAAATACTATTTTCACAATAATTTAAATAAAACTTAAAATGAGAATGTTGACTATATAGTAATCTTTCAATTTTCTTTAATAATATTATATAAACTTTTAAGTTGAAAACAGTTTTAGGTCTCATGAAAAATGGAATAATTATCATATGATATTTAAATGTCAACTTTTAAACATTAAGTAAGTATTTGAGAGGAATGGGTTCCCCTCTCTCACTTTTTGGCACTGTAAAAGAGGCTGAAACCTCTGTGCATTAAGAAACAGACAGGATGTGCATGCATGAACGTCTTTTGTTTACAAAACATTTTCTCAACTTATGAACCTTTTTTAAAACATCTTAAACTTTCCATAAAACAATATCCTATTGGTATGTTTATGATATTATTCTAGTTTTTGTCTCTTGGCTGGTGACTCATCAGTTTTTGAGCTTTCTTCATTTTCATTTTCTTTCTTTGGGCTTTTTATCAACCATGACATGAGGCCACCCTTGGATGGTTTCTTTTCAGTGCTGTGGGGAAAAAGAAATCAAAATACTACTTTTGGTTTCAAATTATTTAATGTGTTCTGATGCTGGTTCGGTCATAAGTGTAATATGCAGATTATATTCAACATAAAACTTAGTACCAGTATGGTTGGAGGTTTTGTGAATACCCCGGAATGGAAAATTCAGGTTGGGGAATGAAATTTAGGATATACCCAGAATGGAAAATTTAGGTTGGGGGAATGGGGGATGCCTTTGGAGGTGGGGTGAGGGTGGAGGGACAGGGGAAGATTATGGATACTTTGTGGTACTTACAGTGTTATTGGCTTGGTGCAATCAGGGTCCTTGTAACGGCTGTTATTCATTCTAGGTGTGACTGGATGCCAATCTAGACAGTCTGTTACTGRCTTTAAAAGCTTTAAGGCCTGATATACAATATATATATTATTGATATTTATCAATCAGTCTCTAATTCATAAGAGAGAAGATCAGGGGCCATTTGAACAGTCAATAATAATGAAAAATCTTTTGTCAACATGGCTGTCATGATTTTGGTCATTTATTAAGTAAGGTCATCCATAACGATATATTTTTGGAAGATGTGAGTACCTTGTGATGGGGGACATGTTCATAGTCCAACCACATTCTTACTGCTTCATCTCCATCAAGAACAGCCTGTGTTGCAAATTTAAGTAAATAATAATGAATTTGTTTTTGCAAATATAATATACAAAATTAAGAATTGATTGTAACTTTTGTACTGTGAAAATTAACACATTTTAGGTCATGAGTAAGCAATACACACAATGCTATTGACATTGTTATATTAAAATAGTTATAAGTATAAATAATATATAATTAATAATCCTCTTTTAAAGCTAGGGTGGTAAAGCTGTAGAAATGTGCAGTCTGTCAAAACTTCCTGTTATACTGGAAGAACTTACAGGCATTCTGTGATGGAGCCAATTGAATGTAGATGATGCATCAAGGGTGATGATAGARTATGAATAAATTGAACCATCATCTGCTGTTTCACCTGCACCCTAGAGAAAACAGCAAAAAGCATTTGATTAAGATCAACAGTTCTTTTTGTCAGTTGGTAGACAGGAAGCCCAAGCTCATAAAAAAATGTATAAAGCATCATAAGTTGCATTTGACAACCCAAAGTACACTTAAAAGAGATATTTAAGTCTATTCTATTTCATGTGCGCATCTAGGGCCTTTCCAAATAGGGAAAGGAAAACTCCTTATGTCGTAGCCTGCACAGAGGCATGTCCCCCCTTAATTTACCACCCTAATTGAGATGCTACTCTGCCAAAACACTGCATCTGCCCTTTAAGTTCATAAAGCACATTTTGAAATTACTTTGACTGGTTTCCAACAATCAAAGACTCCTGCCATGGTAAGGAGTCTTTTRTTAGTACAATCAGATGAATYGTCGTTCTCTTCTGGTTTTYGGTCCTCATTTTTGAAGTAGATRTAGTATGGCTGCTTTTTCCCATCTTTGGAAGTCTTCCATTCATAAAACCTTATAGTAAAAACAATAGCCTTATTAATATAATTGACGGATGAATCAAAATCAGATCTAAAATGAAATGATTAAAACTCTCAAAACAATTTGCACATWTTTTATTTATCATTTGCACTTTCGAGTTGAGGAAGCAAAAGCAAATTCCTGTGAAAATTTCCCACCATTTTTGTTGATGCCCCCCCTTTTTCA